CACACACACTCTCACAGCATGTATACCCACTCACACATCCACACACACTCATATGTATACCCTCCATCCACACACACACTCACATGCATGTATACCCACTCCATCCACACACTCTCACAGCATGTATACCCACTCCATCCACACACACACTCACATGCATGTATACCCACTCCATCCACACACACACTCACATGCATGTATACCCACTCCATCACACACACTCCATGCATGTATACCCACTCCATCCACACACACACACTCACAGCATGTATACCCACTCCATCCACACACACTCACAGCATGTATACCCACTCCATCCACACACACTCTCACAGCATGTATACCCACTCCATCCACACACACTCTCACAGCATGTATACCCACTCCCATCTCACCCTCACAGCATGTATACCCCTCACAGCATGTATACCCACTCCATCCACACACACACTCACATGAACTCACATACAATCTCCCACCCACACTCATACATCTGCATCCACACACACTCTCACAGCATGTATACCTACTCCATCCACACACACGTATAGGCACATTCACCCCCATCCATATATGTGCACGTACACCTACACACACACACACACACGCACACCACACATCGTAGTATTTTTCTGGGGAAACAGAGAAACAGTCACTCTTTTGAAGGACCTCAGAAACTGCACAATAAGAGCTCTTGATTTATCATCAAAATTCAGATAAAGTTGAAGGTCTAACTTCCAAGAAGATCTTCTAGACTATTTTCCAGATTGTTATAAATGCATCTTCAGACATGAAGGAGCACCTCACGGTTGCACTCAGATACCTCCTGGGATATGATTTAGTGCTGATGATTATCGTTACATGTCAGTGAATATAGTTTGATGAAAACTTTTGGGGAAACAAGTTTTCAGAAACTGTCCCCAGATTTATTGTAGTAGTAGTCAACTCTGAGGATGCATTTTTTGACCAGGCAACTATTGTTGGGAGTCTTATACCTGACTTGGAGAGGTGCGTTTGTGCCTTTTAGGTAAGATGGGGAATAGCAGGCCCCCAGACTTAAGAGCTACAAGTGATATTTAAGATAAATTGATCCTTAACATTTTTCCCAAATCAGAGTTCTCATTATTTGTCTCCTTGATGCCAACAGAGTAAAACGCAAAATGGCTCACCACATGGTCAAAGCCCCTCCCTTTCAACTGGCCACATCCTGGCTTTCCCGTGCTCTTTCTACTGAACCAAGCTCTGTGTTCCAAGAAATCATCCTGTCCTCAAATCTCTGTACCTCATTCTCTGCCGAAGCCATGCCCAAGCAGTTCCCTTTGCCTGGTGTGTTTCCCTCTCCCATTTCCCTGCAACACTGCCTGTCAACCTCTTCAATGCGAAGTTCCAGCCCCACCTTCTAGAAGCTTCCAGAAGCCACTATTGGGCTTTGGCATTAAACAACCTGTGTTCAAACTCCAGCTATGTCATTGACAGGGTGAGTCTGAGTATGTGGGTCCTTTTGAGCCCGTTTTCAAATCTTTAAAAAGAAGGGAGGGGAAAATATTTACTTCACACTTTTATTTAGTTTTTCAAAGATTAAATGAGACAATGTGAATGAAACTGACTAGCATGTAGGAGATAGTCAAGAAATATTTCAGTGGATAATGGCATTTCTCTCCTGATCAAGTTAGATTAACCCTCTCTTTTCTACAGTCCAGAACGTTCTGTACCTTACAAGCTGCCTTGGATCTGAAGTTTCTGTGTTTGTGAGGTGGACTCATCTTGGTCTCTTGCCTGGTGACTTTGGCATAATCCTTGCTCAAAAAATTAGATGAAATGAAATAGACTCTTTGCGTATCGCTTTCTTTTTTCTGCGACATTCCTTCTAACAGCCACCGAGCCTGAAGACAGCAAAGCTGCCCAGACTTTTCTCCTGGGCTCCAGCCCCTCCTGTCTGACTGCTCAAAAGAATCTCAGCACGCAGGTCTCACAGGCACCTCAAATCTAGCCTGTGGAAACCTGAGCTGCCTGTGTTCACACTCCTATATCCTAGAACCGTGGTTCTCAAATGTGGGTGCTTTTGCCCCCCAGGTTACATTTGGCAAGGTCTGGGGATATCTTTGTTTGTCACAACTGGGACAGAGGGTCCTTTGTGGAGTCTTGTAGGCAGAGGTCGGGGATGCTGCTGAACATCCCACAATGCATAGGACAGCCTCCGTAACAAGGAATGATCCTGCTCCAAGTGTCGCTACTGTCAGGTTGAGAAATCCTGATCTAGAGGGAGACTTTACCTGGTAGGTCAGGCCATGGCACCGCTCTGCTCACAATCCCCCATGGCTCCCATGTCCCTCAGAGTAAGATGCACACTCTCCGGGTGGAGGACACGGCCTGCAGGGTTCCGCTCCCCCACCTGCTGAGCCCCGACTTCTTATCGCCCTCTCTCCCTTTCCTCCACCCCTTCTCCTCTTTCCCGCCTTGCTTGTCTGCCCTGCCTCCCACTGTGCCTCCAACACGCCTGCCTCAGAGCCTTGCACGGATGTTCCCTTTGCCTGGAAGGCTCTTCCCTCAGTCACCCAAGTTCATCCCTTGCTGCCTTCAAGTCTCTGCTCACATGTCAGCTTCCCTGCAAGGCCATGCCTGCCCACCCCTGTTAAAGCCGCAGCCCTTCCCGGCATGCCATCCTTCTTGCTTGCTATAGGTTTTTCCATTGCACTGATCACCTTACAAATGGGTTTATTTATTGTATAATTTTCTCTTCCCACTAGAGTGTAAGAGCTACAGGAAAGGGATATTTTTGTTTTGTTCACTGATATTTCCCACTGCCTGGTGCTCGAAAAATGTTTGCTGAATGAGTAAATAAATCAGTATCATACTGTCCCCAACTTGCTCATCTTACCTCTATTTTGTAACTGATCTATGTAACCATCATTTAGCTGACACCCAAGTGTCAGAATCCAAACTTGCTTTAGTCTTCCCTTTCTCTGTCTTTTTTATTTTTTGAGATGGAGTCTCACTTCTCACTATGTTGCCTAGGCTGGACTTGAACTCCTGGGCTCGGCCGATCTTTCCACCTCAGCCTCCCAAGTAGCTGGGACTATAGGTGTGCACCACTGCACCCAGCTTATCTCTCTCTTTCACAGTTTTATTGAGATATAATTCACATAAAATAGAATTCATCCATTTAAAGAGTACAATTCAATGGGTTTTGGTATATCATACAGTTACGCAACCATCACTGCAACAATCTTCGAATATTTTCTTTCTCTCTCTCTCTCTCTTTCTTTTTGACAGCTTCTCGCTCTGTCACCCAGGCTGGAGTGCACTGGCGTAATCTCGGCTCACTGCAACCTCCGCCTCCCAGGCTCAAGTGATTCTCCTGCCTCAGCCTCCTGAGTAGCTGGGAGTACAGACACATGCAACTATACCCAGTTAATTTTTGTATTTTCGGTAGAGATAGGATTACACCATGTTAGCCAGGTCTCGAACTCCTCAGCTAAGGCGATCCGCCTGCCTCGGCCTCCCAAAGTGCTGGGATTACAGGCATGAGCCATTGCGCCAGGCCCAAATATTTTCTCTACCCTCGAAGAAACCCCATATTCCTTAAATATCACCCTCTAGCTCCCCCTACCCCCACCGCCATTTCTCCTCATCTCTGGCAAACACTGATCTATGTGCTGACGACATGGGTTCTCCTGTTCAGGATATTTCATGTCAATAGAATCATACGACATTTGTCACTGGTGTCTTTGATTTAGCATACTGTGTTCCAGGTTCACCCATGTTGTTGCCTGTGTTAGTATTTCATTATTCTTATAGCCAAATAATATTCCATTGAATAGAGGCACTGCTTATCCAGGTATCAGTTGACGGGCATTTGGGTTACTTCCATTTTGGGGCTACTATAAAAACGCTGCTCTGGGTTGGGCGCAGTTGGCCCACAACTGCAATCCCAGAAGGGGTCTGAGGTGGGCGGATCACTTGAGGCCAGGAGTTCGAGACCAGCCTGGCCAACATGGTGAAACCCCGTCTCTAGTAGAAACACAAAAATTAGCTGAGTGTGATGGTGCGTGCCTGTAATCCCAGCTACTCGGGAGGCTGAGGCAGGAGAATCACTTGAGGTTGCAGTGAGCCGTGATCAGACCACTGCACTCCAGCCTGGGTGACAGAGTCAGACTCTGTCCCCCTGCCTCAAAAAAGAAAAGAAAAGAAAAGAAAAGAAAAGAGAAAAGAAAAGAAAAGAAAAGAAAAAAGAAAAGAAAAGAAAAGAAAAGAGAAAAGAAAAGAAAAGGAAATGCTGCTCTGAACATGTGTGTCCATGTTCTTGAGTGGGGCTGCCAGATCATGTGGTTACTCTGTGTGTAAACTTTTGAGGACTTGCCACTGTTTTTTTTTTTTTTTCCTTTTCTCTATGAATCCACATCCAACTCATAAGTATGGGCTGTGTTTCTCCCTTCTGAATCTGTGCTCACCTGCATCTGCACGGAAACCACCTCTTCAGTTCATACCTGGAAGGCTACAGTGCCTGCTAACGGGGATCCCTCTCCACTGGCTCACCCTCACCTGCACAGGGGAGGGAGTTTCCCCTTCCTGACGCCGAGGCCACACCCCGGCCCATTCAGGGGTGCCTCTGGAGGTGGCACCCAGGCATCAGTGCTTCCCAGAGCTCCCCAGGCAATAACAATGCACAGCCAAGCACCCGTTTCCTTCTGATCCACACTTCATCACCTGCCACCCAAGTGCCTTCACGACAGCAAATCTGATTGTGTGATCTAGATTCTCCTTGAAACCCCTCTGTGGCTCTCCGTGGCCTCCACAGTAAAATCCAAGCTCCTCAGGATGCACATGCATCTCAGTGACCTGCGTCCACCGCCACCCGTCTTGCCTCCTTCCTCTCCCTGACCCACGCTGCACATGCCACACTGAGCTACATGTGTGCCTGCCCATCCACACCTCCACGCCTTGGGACAGGCTATTCCCTCTTCCTGAAGTGCCTGTTCCCATCTTTCATCCTCCTCTAGGAAGTCTTCCCTGACTGTTCTCCCTCAGCGGGCTGGGATGGACCCTCGTGCAGAGCCCCAAGCAAGCCTCTGTCCAGACCCTCACCACACCGCACCGTAACTGTGTTCACTGGCCTCTAGTCCAGGAGCCTCAAGGCCAGCGCTGGGATATCACTCATCTCTGGATCCTCAGCCTGTAGCTGCCTGACTCGTGGTAGGTGATGGGTTCTTTCTTTTTTTGGCATACGTGTGTTAGGGGATGTGATGAATGAAGGGGTGAGTGAATGAACACACTCTGGCCTATGTAGAAGCCATGACCAGGTGCAATCCTACCAGCTGCCCAACTGTGCTCTCCCGAGTCCCAGCAATAACCCTGGGGGCAGGCAGCAGGGCCCACTCCACCCCTGACCTGGACCAGCGAGACCCGCACACGTCTCCCTCGCATGGGGACATCTACCTGCATTTCCCAGTCTCAGGCTCAGTGTGTTTCATTTCTCCAGCCATGGGGCCCAGCAGGTGTCAGCAGCAAAGGAGAACTGGGTGGGACAGTACTTCCTGAAGATAAGGCAAAGTGCCCCAGCCCAGAGATCAATCCTGTAAATCCACTTTCAAAGGGATGAATAAGGTGGGACATCCCTGGATCCTTCTTCAGCCATAAATCTCTAGGCTCGGATGGTAACTGTACTCCTCTTGACAAAGCTGTCAAGAGCACGGCATAGCAGCAGTCGGGAAAGAGCATGCACAAGAAAGGTCCTTCTGGTGGGGCAAGGCCCACCTGTCCTGCCCCCTGAGCTTTGCCTCCCCGCCTGCATGGGCTTTGCTGCCTCTGTGGGGACCTGTTGGAGGTTGCAGGGCTTGACTGCCAGTGCCGGAGGCTTCCGTGAGCATTTGTCCTATGAATACCCAGGCTCTGTTCTGCTGCTCAGCCTGCACCGATGCCACCTGACCTCCTGTAAATAAATGGAGCACTGTAAAGGGAGTCCAGCTCAGCTGCCCCCCATGTGATTGTGCAAGACTCACCTCCCCTCTTGAGGAGGCAGTGGGGTGGGTGGACTAGGTGATCCCAGAGGCTGCTTTCAGCTGCAATGCCCCGGTTGCTCCTGTTTTGTTTTGTTTTTTGACACAGAGTCTCGTTCTGTTGCCCAGGCTGGAGTGCAGTGGTGCGATCTCGGCTCACTGCAAGCTCCACCTCCCGGGTTCACACCATTCTCCTGCCTCAGCCGCCCGAGTAGCTGGGACTACAGGTGCCTGCCACCACACCCAGCTAATTTTTTGTATTTTTAGTAGAGATGGAGTTTCACCGTGTTAGCCAGGATAGTCTCCATCTCCTGACCTTGTGATCCTCCTGCCTTGACCTCCCAAAGTGCTGGGATTACTGGCGTGAGCCACTGCGCCCAGCCTCCTTCTGTTTTTTTTTTTTTTTTTAGACAAAGTCTCTCTCTGTTGCCAGACTGGAATGCAATGGGCCGATCTTGGCTCACTGCAACCTTTGCCTCCTGGGTCCAAGTGATTCTCCTGCCTCAGCCTCCTGACTAACCGGTATTACAGGCACCCACCACCATGTCCAGCTAATTTTTTGTATTTTTAGTAGAGATGGGGTTTCACCAAGTTGGCCAGGCTGGTCTTGAACTCCTGCCCTCAAGCAATCCACCTGCCCTGGCCTCCCAAAGTGCCAGTTGCTCTTTCTGACCCATTTGAGAGCAAAGTTGTGTGAAGGTTTTCCTCTCAGTTCATGAATTATCAGGAAAACCATGTTTGGAAAGACCAGAGTCAAGCATAGTAAAAAATAAGAAACTTGAAAATAATGACTCTTTGTGTTTTGATTTCTCCTGAATCCGGCTTCTGTAACTGTACAGTAACAGAGCAGTGCAGGGAACAGCACTGGACAACAGAGTCTCCAAATCCTTAATTCCATTCCACCCTGTCCCTGACTAGCAGTGTCATTGGGGTGAGTCATTTTTCCCTCTGTAGGCCTCAGTTTGCTGATCTGTAAAATGGGGATATTTAATGCCTTCCCAATTCATTCAACGGAGCCTTACAGAGAGCTTGCCATGTGCCTGGTCCAGTGCTAGGTAGGGAGACAGGTGAATAAGACAGACCCTTTTTTTTTTTTTTGAGACGGAGTCTTGCTCTGTCCCCCAGGCTGGAGTGCAGTGGGGTGATCTCGGCTCATTGCAAGCTCCGCCTCCCGGGTTCACGCCATTCTCCTGCCTCCGCCTCCTGAGTAGCTGGAACTACAGGCGCCCGCCACCATGCCCGGCTAGTTTTTTGTATTTTTAGTAGAGATGAGGTTTCACCATGTTAGCCAGGATGGTCTCGATCTCCTGACCCCAAGATCCGCCCGCCATGGCTTCACAAAGTTCTGGGATTACAGGCGTGAGCCACCGAGCTGGTCTAACTTTTTTTCTTTAATTTTGGTTTTGCTTTAGGAGAATTGCTTGAACCTGGGAGGTGGAGGTTGCAGTGAGCTAAGATCATGCCTTTGCACTCCAGCCCAGGCAACAGCACGAGACTATGTCAAAAAAAGAAAGAAAGAAAAAGAAAGAAAGGAAGGAAGGGAGGGAGGGAGGGAGGGAGGCAGCTTGAACACTGGCGGAGAGAGAAGTCAGGTAGGGAAGTGAAAGCAATCAATACTGGGTGTAATTTCAAGCCAGCTACTGCTGTGGGCAGCTGAGCTTCATCCCAATAAGGAGCTCAACAGCTCTATTCAATGACTTCTCTCTATTTTCCCACAAAACATCTGCGACCAGCCGCTTTGCTCAACCTCCACATTTCTCTGCATCGTTATATAGCTTCTCCTCCTTTTACGATAACTCAGAGGAACAGATATCTCCTTCCTCTGAACAAATGCCTCCACTTCAACTCTTCATCTACTCCCTTTCTACCCCTCCAAAATCTTGCTCCACCAGAGACTCCCCTGCCTTTCTCTACTCCCGCTCCCTCTTCGTCCCCACTCCTTGATAACGCTTTGCAACCTGACTTTCATTTCCCCTTCTCCCTCCCGTGCACTGACTCGTGGGCTTTACTGAGATGCTTTTCCCAGAGGATCCTTCCTCAAGTTTCCGATACGTCTGTCCACCTTGTTTCAGAAACAGTCTATCATCATTCGCTACTAAAAAATTCTGATCTCAAAATGTAAGGATCATGATAGCTACATAACAGAGTTGTGGTAAGGATTCCAGGTTAAATAAACTGTCTAGCGGAGCCTGGCACAAAGAGGCAGTCAGTACACAGCAGCCACCAATACTGTCACCAAACTTAATTATTGGAGTTTGCAACCCATGGGTGATCAGAACAGAGCATGACAAGAAGGAGAGCTGCTAGAGGCAAGAAGTGACTATGGACGACTTGACACCGAGAAAGGAGAGAGAATAATCTCAAAAAGCGGTTCGGAGAACAAAAGAGTAGTAGTAGTTTGGGATCATTTTGCAGAACTGCAGGAAGTCGGTGCCATCAGAGTTCTTGAGATTTCCCAGTGTCTTGGACATTTGTGGTGATGGGTGTTCTTAAGGATCGCGACTCTAGTTAGTAAGAAGAGCTAGTTCCACAATCATTGCAACAGTGTTTCCCTCTTGAATAGAAGGTGCTGGTTTTCAATGTCAATACTCAATGTTCAATAACAACTGGCTGCAGTTGACATTCCCAAGCAAAAGTGGGTGTCAAGCCCTATCTAGTAGAGGAACCAAAAGAGAACCAGCCTTGCATGGTTGGTCATTCGGTCACTGAACTTTCTGGTACAAAGTCAGAGGTCTGGGACTAGCATGAGAATAGAACAGCAGTGGGATGCGTAGACAAGGGAGCCCACACACAGACCTGCAGGAATGTACGAATGAAGTACATGGGCACCGAGGCATTTCAAAGCTGTGGGGAGAGGATGTCTTGATTATTTTATTATTATTATTATTATTTTGAGACAGAGTCTCACTCTGTCCCCCAGGCTGAAGTGCAGTGGTGCGATCTCAGCTCACTGCAAGCTCCGCCTCCCGGGTTCACACCATTCTCCTGCCTCAGTCTTCCGAGTAGCTGGAACTACAGGCACCCGCCACCGTGCCCAGCTCATTTTTTGTATTTTTTAGTAGAGACGGGGTTTCACCGTGGTCTCGATCTCCTGACCTCGTGATCCGCCCGCCTCGGCCTCCCAAAGTGCTGGGATTACAGGTATGAGCCACCACTCCCAGCAGGATGTCTTGATTATTAAATAAATGGTGCAGGGACGATTGGCTAAGGGCTTGGAAAGGCATAAATTCCATCTGTGCCTCACATCATATGTCCAGATAAGATTCAACGTCTAAAGAGTTACATGTCAATCAACCAGAAATTGGAAAACAAGTGCCTGACTTATTTCACTTAGCATAATGTCCTCCAGGTTCATCCATGTGGTTGCAAATGGAATATTCCCTTCTTTTTTAGGGCTGAATGGTATTTTCTTTTACGTATAGACCACCATTTCAATAGAGAATTAGTTAAGTGATTATATATTGATACAACGCACTTTTATACAGTCATGAAAGTCATGTTTTAGAATAGTCAATGCTCATATCTATTCTTAAGTAAAATAGTAGGCTACAAAAAACATATAGCTCTAGGAGCTGAGCAAGAGAGTGGCCCTGCCTGCTGGGCCTGTCTGCTCCCCTGAGTTAGGCACTCCAGAAAGGGGTTGAGAGCATCTGAGTCTTGGGGCCCAGCCCTGGGGCCCTTAAACTATCCCTGCCTACTAAGGGGCCCTCAGGGACAAATGTAGAACCAATGAGTTGCACAGCCACAGAGTCCAGTGTGCTCAGCCCTTCAGTATGTGATAGAAACAGGCCCAGAGAGGGCAGGTGACCTGCCCAGGGCCTTCCAGCCCTCACACAGCTGGAACTAGGATCCACGGCGCCAGCCTGGAGCACTGGACATCACATTTCAGGGGAATTGGGGGTGCTGGGCTCACACGGGAGAGGTCTTGCTAGCTGCCAGCCTGGGGCTCCCCCGTCTGCTGTCCACCCCTTCAACATCCGTAGTGGGACTCCAGGCACAAGGCTGGGACCTTCTGCTGCAGACACAAAGCACACCGCCACCTGAGGTCCGGGGTCATGATTTGAAACCCACCAAGTGCCCATCAGCCCTTTCCCAGGTTGCAGGGAAAACAGGACCCCAGCCCCAACATGGTGCCTGGCCACCT